TTGAAAAATCTGAGGAAACTGGACAAGTGGAGGACCAAAGAAGAAGTGGCAGGGCTAAAAGAAATTATCGATAGTAGATGGACAAGTTGCTATACTGTATTTCCATTTTTATTCACGTTTCAGTAAATTACTGCAACTATGTCACCATAAATTACTAGTTTAAATTTTTTTTTAAAGTTTTTTCATTAATTATGGGTCATGTCAGATTAGTTTTAACATGAATTTGCACACACTGTCATAGTTAGACTTTCCTGTCCAGACAGATATACAGAAAGAAGTATGAATTTTATAGTTTCGTGAGTCCATTTTGTTCATTCAACAACAAAAATGTTTTTAATCAGAATCATAATTTTGCATTTTTTATCTCTACCAAAAACATCTGTTCTTGTGGTTTGAAAATGTTTTTTTGTAATGACAGAAAATTCAAAATCCCCATAAATGCATTTATCTATGGGGTTGTAATAAAAAAAATCTGTGAAGGATTCACGTATGTTCTGTCTTTTTTTTTTTAAAATTGCTGTTTCTCCAAAGAGTTGAACACCTTTTTTAAGAGTTTTATTATCATTCTTCAATGCAGCGTTTCTTAAATTAAACTATTAGCACCCCCTAGTGGCACACTTGATTACTACAGTCATCCATCCATTCACTTCCGCTTATCCTAATCAGGGTCGTTAGGGCCGCAGGATTTTTCCCCCCCCCTTTTCCTGTTAATTTAAAATATGAGTCATACATAATTCCTCATTATCAAGGGCGTGTGTTTTTTCTCCCATAAGATTTCGCCCTTGCTGGGGGCTATTATAAAGGTTTTAGAGCTATTATTGAGCTGGGTTGTATGTAAACTTGTTTTCACTACTGAAAAAAAAAAAAATCTGTCAAAATTTAATTATCTCAAAATCTTAAGGCACTGAGAAAATAACTTGAAACTTGAAACTCAAGGCTCCAAATGTCGACATTTGGAGACGATAATGTGAAATTTTGAGTATGACGAAAATGTTGTTTTTTTAAAATTTATGAGACATTTCTAGCTTGTGCCAGCAGGTGGCAGTGAAGTAGTGGAAATGCACTGAAGGGCTTTTTATGAGTGTTTGTTTTCCTGTGGAAATCACCCTGCTCACTGACCCTCAGCACTGTGCCATCAAACCTTACTCATGTTGGGAGTGGTCAGCTGCACGTGTTTTCATCACTATTGCACAACAACAAGTCAGTCGCTAGTTTAATTAAATGCAATATCTAAAAACTATTATTCATTTAATGTCAATGTTGGGCAATTAAAATTAAAATGCTGTCTTTCGTCACATATTAATATTAGATGAAAGATATCTCTCTGTTATGGCACTAAAACATTTCAGTCTACATCCACTGCCTTGAAAGAAGAAGTCTTAATCTGTGCAGAGAGATCAGAAAGGTGGTGTACACAGTGTTCACGAGCACTTACTCAAAAATGAGATTTGTTTATTTCTTTTGGCCAACATAGCTCATTAGATTGCACACTGACTCTTTAAACAGTTTTCACAGAGAAGAGAAGACAGTTTGTAGTACATAGAGCTTATTTCTGGTTCCTATCACACAAGTCAGTGGAAAGACGATAACTCTTTGCAGCATCTTCAGCAGAGGCAGAAAATCCAGCTACCTGACTGCTATGCTCGAGGACAGATTTGAGGTATCATTTTGTAGTATTCTACTCCAACTTTTTATTTCCCCACATTTGGCATCTTCAGTGACTTTGTTATCATTTTAAACATTAAACTTGGAGTAGATCAAATTCTGAAAATAAAGACCAGGTCTCACAGTTTGGTTTTCTGCACTCTTACTCGTGGCACGCTGGAATAATAAACAGTTTTATTGTTTTAACATTGTCAGGCAGCCATACTTTGCCTTTTCACGTGCAGTGAAGTATTATATGGCAACACCTGACTAATGTCATAATGTTTAGCAGTCTCTAAAAATATGACTGTGGAAGTGGTGCTGAGAAGAAGATGGTTTAGTAAATAAGGTGTTTCTGCGGTGCGTTCAGGCACACCTTTATGTGAGTTTATCTCTAGACTATTGTCTGTGTATGATGCATGGTTTCTATTAAGCGCAGCTGGGACATTTACAGTATGCAGCACAAATCTATTCAGTATGAACATCAGGTTATGATGGAAAACCGAACGGCTACGTCTCTGTAGAACCTTTACTACAAAACACGCTTCACACGTTTTTAAAAGAAAAAGCACCTCTCCTGCAATGGAAAAATACCTCTTTATTCGATGTGCATGCCAGGGTCTCAGAAATGTCCGCTCCTGGTGGGCAGGCAGTGACAACAGCAGATAAGCCGTTCCCATGTTAAGCCCGTTTTCCATATCCTTTATCAGGACGAGGATTATTAAATATAAGTTTTAAACAATTTCTTAACGAATTCCAGGATTTTGGATTAGAAACTAATTGACCTGACGTTATCTGGGGTTGGCTAGCTGCAGGAAATTCAGCCCAGATGTGAGGGACATTTGATTGTTTCACTTTTAAGAGTCACTATCAGTGTTCGATGAAAAACATCCTCACACATGGCAAAGGATTGCATCCGTTACTGCAGAATTAAAGAAATAATTCACAAATCATGTGAATATGACTGTAGGCGCATTTTTATAACAGAGACATTTGGGCCCATTCACATGATTAGGCCAGGTATTGCATCACAGAGCTGAATATTTATTTATTCTTGGCATGCGAGCCGAGAGACGGTGGAATAACGCAGGTAGGGTTATACCTTCAGGCAGGCAGACTGAGTGTGGTGTTACAGGAGGCTGGCGCTGCACTACGACAGCTGTTGGGTTCACTCCAGTGCAGCTGGAAATGGGACACTTATGCACATAACAGACGCAAATGACGGCACTGGCTCCTCTGCCCGAAGTGGATGGAGATGAAGTGGTCTGCCAGGACGCCCAGGCAGCAGAGCCCGGATTGATGGTCAGATGTTTGTTCTAGTCCCTATGGAAAAAAAAAAAAAAGCACAGTGTTTACATGATCAGGGACAGAGAGTGGGCCGAGCCAACTCACCGAGGGAATTCAAAACACTCTATCCCAAAAGGGCACCATGAAGAGAAAAAAGCTGCAGTCCATAAATGGATAAAGCAGGAGTGAGGTTATTATCGGGAACAATGGAGCTGCTGACTGGAATCTGGAGCTGTCAAAGAAACAAAATGAATTCATTCAAATGAATCTAGCCTTTACATGTCGATCGACTGCTCTAAAAACTCCAATCGTTCTCATTTCATCGTGCGGCCCGTGCGTCAGGCTACTTTGTTGTGGTTAAGCAGCAAATGTCTGAGATTTAGGGTTGGCCGCTCTGTAAAAGATGCAGCCCTGTGATAATAAATCAATACAGCCTAATGCTAAGAGAGCGTAAACATTTATCTCACACCATTTCCCAGTGTAAGTGTTGAAGTACTGAAGTGCCTGTGAAAGGTGAAAGGACACGTATTCCTGGCTTTTATCCTGCCAACAGTTGTCAAGCGTCAAATGAGCTCATAGCTGCATTAGCACAGCAGGAGGAGGAGGATAAGGAGGAGGAGAACCATCCAACTTGAAATTTAAAGTTAGACAGAGAAGGGTTACACAGATGACAATAGCCAAAACGTTTAAAAATACTCCTCTCTGAGACCAACCGCAGGATTTAAAGCTGTTACGCTCTTAGACGATGCAGTTTCTCCAGATGCGTTCGTGACCTCGCAGACCGGCGATGTGCCGCATCCAGCCTTCTACTTCAATCGTTTTTCATTTCTAACCTGAGGCTTCCCACGGTGCTCTCACTAAACAAATGGTTTCCTTTGTCATTATTAAAGGACAGCTGAGAAATCTCTCAGCTGGTCAAACAGACACAGACAAAAAAGGGCGCAGAGATCGTGTCTCGGTCGATAAGTAAGATCATTTTAGTGGTCTAACAAGCATTAAAAACAGACACATTTCTGAAACATCAAACACTGGCATTGCATGCTATCACTCATATCTCATATCCTGTTGTGGGACTGACATTTACACCCGTGGTCCGAGAAAGTAAAGCCTCATTATCCAAACTCCCTGTGAAGCAGATGCCTCATTTAGCTCATGTGACTCGGTTTTCTCTCTTTCCTGTTTTCTGACTATATGTAGACGAAACGAATTAGCCAAGACCCCAAATACAGATGAACAGCCTGTACACAGTCAGATTAACCTCTCCACCCAGAGATTGCCTCACCGATCCCTAACACTTGTTGGGGATTAGAACTGTCCGAATAAAGTCAATAGTACACAAGATATTTATCTCTTCTGGAACTGTGTTTTAATCAAATGGTCTTCTTAGATGAATCAGACATTCCTGCCCACCATTAATCATCAGCTGAACTAAGCCTCACAGTTTACAGTAAAATGAAGCATGCCCATTCAAATCTGAATAACAGCCTCTTGGCTTCAGTCCAGCAGCAGCTTTTTTGCTTCAAATGTTACATGTGCCATTCACATGTTTGTGTACGCATTGTCAGGAAGCTCGGGACGCTCTTGCCAAAGCAACTGCGACACACATGCATATTCAAGTCCGTGATACATTTATCATTACAGCATAGAGGGAGAATGTGTTGCAAATGTTCTTCATTAACTGATGTGAGTGGAATTAGAATCAACTGTAATCCAATAAATTGTTAAGACATGTGCTTTCTAAAGTTTCCATGTTTCATAATGTTTCCCAAGTGGTTACTAACTGCTGCAGTTAATTCTGCTTATATTATGAAGCAGAAATATCTTCGGATTTCCTCACGCTTCATGCATATCATTCACTATCTTAAAAACGTACCTCCTCTCACTTTTTTGTTTTATTTTCCCCTCTTTCTTTCTTCCTTCCTTCATTTTTCTCAGATATCTCACAGATTCCCTTTTCACTGCACAGCTCCATCATTTCCCACTCCCTCCTCTTCTCCCTCCCACCTTTCCTCCTTCTCTTGCTCTCGCTGCGCTTCTCACAAACTGAGGTGGGTGTTTTTACACTCTCTCCCTCCTCTCCCTTCACTCTTTGCTCTCAGGCTGCAATGAGGTTAACAGCCCTGTGCGTATGTGGGACCCTGCTGGCCTTCTCAAGTCTCTCTTGGATCACAGCAGACTCTGATGAAGGAATACTCCTTGTGGATAAAGGATTTGGCCCCTGCACTGTAACACTGACGCCTGGGGGGCAGTGCAGACAGGTGCAGCATGAGAGCACGTGCCCTTACTTACTCACTTTGCCACCGCTGAGGATTCACCTGCCACAGCACCTCAAAGAGCTGGATAAGATCGTGGAGGACCTGCAGAAGCTGAAGGACAGTGTGGATGAACTGCGGGAGATCTGCGCAGACTGTACAGTAAGCCAAACTGAGAGAGAGTGTGGAAGGCAAAGAGAGAATGAGCGTGAGACACTGAGTGAGGAGACGGATAGACGTGAGGATGAGAGAAACTGGGTGAATGAGAGACTTCAAGAGAATGGTTTTAAACAAGAGTGCAGCACAGTCAGTGTTATGGAAGGAGATGGAGACTCGGAAAAAACAGGCACTCTGGAAGAGAAAGAAAGAAAGAAATGGGAGACAGAAAGAGAGAGCAATGGAGGACTCATAAAAGAAAATGAGGAAGGAGAAACTCTGACAGAAGTGCTGGAAACTGAAGGAACAACTCAATCAGACAGAGGAAAAGGAAAGGACAAAGTGGTTCCAACAAAGGTAACAACTGGTGGTGTAAATGAGGGAACAGTAGGAGAAAAGGTTGCTGACAAAAACAATAGGCAGGGGGAGGGAGACAGAAATAAAGACACTGCCGGAGAAGAGAATTCAAAGAGATATCAAGAGAATAATCTGGAGCATGGAAAAGAAAGAAAGACTTTCACTAATGTAAATAAAACTGAAGAAAGTGGTCATCACGTGTGGCAAGATAAAACAGAGGAAACAGAGACCCAAACTGCAGCCAGTGATAGGATAAAGATGTCAGAGAACCATGATGAGAATACAAATCAGGAGCAAGAGCAGAGCAGGGAGGAGAAGAAAAAGGAAATGGAAAAGAGAGTAAAAGTAGAGCAAAATAATGAGGAACGAAAACAGACCGAAAGCATCAGGCGCACTGAAAAAGAAAAGACTATAAAAGAGGGGGGCGAGGGCAGAGAGACGAGAAAGGAGATCAAAACAGAAGACGAAGAGACAGAGAGTGGAGAGGGAGACGATAGAGAATTACCATCCAGCGAAGCAACTAAAAGGACAGACTTTGTTTCAATCAGCCCAACTCCTCACTCTACAATTAACATAGCTCTAGGGCTAGACTCTGTGGACTCGAATGAAGCTACGTCATCTATTCCATCTCCCCCAATGCCCAGCTCCACCTTGCATTATATCACAGATGTCAGTCACGAGATAACTACCCAAAACACAGGCCTTGTAGCAGCTGGGATTTCTAAGCCTCCAAAAGCTGATGCAAATACTCACACAGAAACTACAATGAGCACAGGGAGTGGACAACACATAACCAATCAAACTACTACATCCAGGCCAGGCCTCCACAGTCACATTAGTTCAACTATGACAACTACAGTCACCACAGCTCATCATCAGGATTCAACTGTAGGAGCTATAGATGACAGCCGCTGGACAGCTAAAAAGAACATCAGCTCAAATACTAAGATTGGAGCAAAACCTCTGCCAGGCCAAGGACCAAAGCCTGGCAAAAGACCAAAATACAACCAAAAGAAGCACCCTTTTCACCACAAACCCAGAATTGACCAAAGACCTAAACCTCAACCTGGCAAAGACCCAAAAGGAGTCGAAACTTCAAAACCTAAGCAAAGAATTCCCCCTCATATTTTACCCACTGATCAAAATTTGAATAACAATTCTATACCTAAATATGGCCAAAATTATAC